CGCATCAATCCCGTGTTGACGTGGTGTCCCGCCCAGCTATTGTATCTCACTCCGTGGTGTCCCCTGTGGTAGCACACGCAGTTCCCGTGGTTCCCCTGGCGTACTCCGCATCACGTTTACACCATGCCACCCCTTTAGTGCACGCTGCACATTATTAAGATGTTATTAAGATTTAGCGAACAAACGTAGTTTTCATTTTAATATGTTAGATTAAAATGAATAGACAATAAAGTAATTTTTTAAAATGAAAAGTACCTATCTTTATTTTATAACAGAAACCTACATATAATATAATATATTAAAGTGATTCGGAACATTTTCTTATGTGATGGAAATGTGAAAATTATTCAGTATTCCGAATACTATAGTTCAAAAAACGATATTTAAAATAACGACAATTAAGTTTTAAGGTGTGAAACATTATTTTCATTTTTAATTACTAATGTGACTGCTGTAATAATACAAAAACTACGATAAAACTTATATAGTTTGCTACCAAAATCAGTTTCATGGAGAAGTATGAACCAGATGCTTTTTATCCTTAATTAATCATTTAATCTATTAGAACAAACCTACCAAAACACTTTGATTATGTTACACTTTAATTAGTTACTTTACTTAGTTAGTTACTTACATACATTTAAAAGCTCGAACTGCGGTAAATCCTTTGGTTCTAAGATTTGCCAACTAGGTATGGTAATAGTCCGAAAAGTTCTTATGAGCTTAGTTTATTTCAAGCATTTACCATCATTCACTTCTCGACTAGGTCAATATGTAAGCCCTTTAAATACTCGGCAAATGTCGATAAAAAGGCGTATGTAAAAATATGTTTTTTAATGACATAAATTAAAAATTAAATTATCTTTAAAGTTTTATGTTAATCGGCAATTTATCAACATTTACATTGGACGTGAAATATTACTAAATATTGATTTACACAAGGTTTGTTCGAAATAAATATCGCATACCTTTTCGGGCATAAGTATTTGGTAGCTTTTGGGTTTTTTCCAGTAAATTTTTTTAGATTTATTATAGTATATGACTTTGCAGCAGCGTATAGCAGATATAAAAGTATAACAAATAAGAAAGACATGTGTATGAGAAAAATATATTTTGCAGATGAATGACTGAGCATCAAATTCAAGTTCAAGTCAAATTCGTTAAAGTTTAAAGGACATTCGTAAAGGACTTATTTTTGTTAATTTAAAAGCCGTGAAGAAGATCTTAAAGACAAATATAGAAATTGGAATATAATTTATGTATAATAAGGTTTTACCAAAATGTTAATAATGCAATTGACATTCGGCAACCACCTCCTCCTGCTCTCTGAGCTTTTTACACTAAATCGACAATAAAACAAAAAAGTAGTTTCTTTTAAAATTATCTATTTTTATTTCGTTTTTATTTATAAATTATAATATCATTTAAAGTTATTAATCTTAGGTCGTCATATTCGCTTTTCACCAGGCATGGGCCAGAGGAGCAGAATGAAGGAGGCCAGAATGCGCAAGCGCACCTCCATAGACTCCGTGCGCGAGGGCACCACCGTAGACACCATGCGCGACGGGCGCGAGGGGGGCAATGGCGGCATGCGCTACAATGGCGGGGCTGCTGCGGACGTCGACGCGGGACTGGTGCGACACAGCGGCGGGAGCGACAGCGTGGGCGACGACGGGCGCGACTGCGGCGTGCGCGATGACGGGCGCAGCCACGGCGTGGGACACGATAGCAGGGCTAGAGACGACGTCCACGCGGGACTGGTGGGACACGGCGGCAGGGGCGGCGGCCAGAACGGGGGCAGCGTGGGCGACAAGGGGAGCGGAGTATGCGAGGTGTCCCAGGGACCGCTTCTTCAGGAGATGGCCGTGAGCGGCAAGTCCGTGAGCGGCGTGTCCCCAAACAGGAGAGGCGTAAGCGCTGTGCGCAGCCAAGATGGGAGCGGCGTGCGCGGTGACGATGGCAGGGCTGGTGCGCACGTCCACACGAGACTGGTGGGAGACGGCAGCGGGGGCAGCAACTACGGCGGGAGCGGTGACCACAGCGGGGGCAGCGACCACCGAGTGAGCGACGGCAAACGGGGCAACGGCACCGTGCAGGAGGGCACCGTGGCCTTCCAAGGCCTTAGCCTGCAGGTGGATGGCGCGGGCGTTGATCACATCTGCGGTCTCCAGGGGGCGGCCGTGTGGATCCAGGACCACGGCGGCGTGGTGCGCAGGCTGCGCCCATGGGATGAGGGAGCCACAAGCCACGGAGGCGAGAGCGAAGAACACCACCATCGATTTCATTGTGAACGTGGTCTGTGCCTTTTCTGACGAACTAGATCACTTCAAACCGACTTCGGTCGACTGATAAATTCGACTCGCATACAGTCATATTTATACTGACCGGATATAATTAAAAAGTAAGGCGATTTCAGTAAGCAATAATGTCTCGGTAATGTTAGAACAATGTCAGTTGTCAATAAAGTGACCTTGCGGCGTGGCATAGGATTATTTGGTCTATACATGTGGCTTATAAAAGTTGGTTCCTTAAGCAGTTCCTTTTTTTATGGAAAATTAAATAATTTCTGCTCAAAGATTAGGAAAGTACATTATGAACGTTTCGCAAACGCCAGTACTCTGAAATATTGTTATAACTTGATTATTTAATCTATGTAAGCAATCTATTGCATTGTTGTAACTTTTAGTAATAGATATTATATATAAAATATCACAATTATATTTTACATTTTAACATCAGTAAAATTATCTAGTACATAAATGCATTTAATAGCCATTAATCGCAGCTGAATGGTATGATTGATTTATGGTGTCATGATTTTTGGGTAAATGCAATATTTCAGTGCTATTATTATTTTACAATGCTGATGCACGCCGGAACATATCAGGCTATTTTTATAAAATTGTGAACTGACAAAGTCTCGAGCGACCTCTATATCTGATTTTGACGGGACCTTCACAAGAAGGTAGCTGTTGCACGCCGGAATTTTATACGATACTTTTTCAATTTTTTTTTATAGTTCTCTGCTGACGAAATCGCGGGCGACCGCTAGTTAAATAATGTGAACCTTTGCGCTTACCTAATCCATTTCTCTAAACTCTGCAAGAAACTGGTTTATTGCACCTACCGAACATGATACAGGAGGTTTGCTTTGTATCCTGTTTAATGAAAAAAGTTTTCTTGGTATCATCGTGTCGCCGAGTTAAAGTATTCAATTTGACTATTTAAATTATGTTTAAATCTTACTAATATTATGTATAAGTGCGAATGTCTAAATGGATGGATGGACGAATGGATGAATGGTTGTTTGTTTGTACGTACCTCCAGAGCAGCTGTACGAATCTTAATGAAATTTGACATAGATATAGAAAAGATAGATAGAGAAAAGATAGATCATTAATTTTTTTTTAATTCCGCGTGGACAGAGTCGCGAGCGACAGCTAGTTAAGTTATAATTTTGTTTCCAAAGCTTGTAATAGGAAATTGATTGTCAATGACTTGTGGCTTTTATTTTTTCAAGAATTTCAACGCATATAGATTTTATTCGAAAGGATTTGTTAGAAATTGTAGTATTTTTGCCCGTTTTCATAATAGTATTCCAATATACATTAGGCAAGTCTTTAAAACTACTAAATTATAAAGAAATTCTTTATTTTATTACAAAGTTAAAAAATGTGCTAGTATTGATTTTATTATTGTATTCGGTATAAGCACTTTCGTATGTCATCCATATGCAGCATTTCACGAACAGTTGTTCTAAATTTAGTAAATTACAAAATAAATAATCGAATTCGTAGCGATATCCAATTTAACTATAATATTATAATTCCATATGACAATATGTTATTTGCAACAACCTGTATAAATTCGAAAACTCCGCCGTTAATGAAGTACGCCACGGCCTCTAACACCAATGAACGGTTTCATTTACCTCATGTTTCTGACTCCAAAATCTCTGTATAAAACATATCGTCATCTCCTGTCCTTCATCTTTGACAAAAAAGAGATAATAACATGTTTTAAACGAATATTTTCGTCTCAGAAACCTACGGTTACTCTAAGATTGATTAGAATTTGCTAGGTAGAAAAATAAAAAATTAATTTATGTACTTTTGTCCTCCGATACTATTTCTTCGCGGGTATGTAATTACAATTGTATATATTATTCTTTCCCGAAGCGACACTAGTTTTAACTTTGTACAAACGAAAAGCTTTTCAAAGTAAAGTTATAATAAGGCGCAAGGTCAAGGTAGATTATTATCTATACCTACATTAGGTACAATAAGAAATACGTAAAACCCAAGTAGACATAGAAAATAACAGACATAAGAAGACAGTAACAGTACAACAGGGATCTTGTGACTTTTTTAACATTCATAGGGCAAATGAACAATAAGTAATTGAGTGACCAAGGGGTCAGATAAGTTGGTTGCTTTTAAATTCTATATTATAATAATATATTTTTCCTCACATTGACATAATCTTTTTGACGTAAATTAGAAGAATTGTGCCTTTTGATAATGGTGTTATACTTCGAATCGAACGTGGCAATCACATATTGAAGCGTAGCAAACCATTGATGCTTTGCCACGCTTCAATGTGTGATTGCCATACTTATCATTTAAGTACCTATATTAACAGTCTCGCTCTTTGAAGAATTTTTAACTTAAAGCTCGCTTAATTTACAAAAAATCACCTCGTCAGTTAGATGGTTGCAGGTTGGTGGAGTACTGGATTACAAATATAATAAATAAGAGAAATTCATAGAATAATGCATTATTAACACACTTGTAGTATTGCAGTAAAACTGCAACATAGAATGTCCAGTTTAATTATGTAAACAAATAAAAGACTCTGTCGTATTTCACGGTTTCTTTTTATGTTATTTTTTATTTATAAATTATGATATCGTTTAAAGTTATTAATCTTAGGTCGTCATATTCACTCTTCACCAGGCATGGGCCAAGGGGGCGGAATGAAGAAGTCCGGAATGCGCAAGCGCACCTCCGTAGACGCCGTGCGCGAGGGCACCACCGTAGACACCGTGCGCGAGGGCACCACCGTAGACACCGTGCGCGAGAGGCGCGAGGGGGGCAACGGCAGCGTGCGCTACAATGGCGGGGCTGCTGCGGACGTCGACGCGGGACTGGTGCGACACAGCGGCGGGAGCGACAGCGTGGGCGACAACGGGCGCGACTGCGGCGTGCGCGACGACGGGCGCGGCCACGGCGTGGGACACGATGGCAGGGCTAGAGACGACGTCCACGCGGGACTGGTGGGACACGGCGGAGGGAGCGGCGGCCAGAACGGGGGCAGCGTGGGCGACAAGGGGAGCGGCGTATGCGAGGTGTCCCAGGGAGCGCTTCTTCAGGAGATGGCCGTGAGCGGCAAGTCCGTGAGCGGCGTGTCCCCAAACAGGAGCGGCGTAAGCGCTGTGCGCGGCCAAGACGGGAGCGGCGTGCGCGGTGACGATGGCAGGGCTGGTGCGCACGTCCACACGGGACTGGTGGGAGACGGCAGCAGGGGCAGCAACTACGGCGGGAGCGGCGACCACAGCGGGGGCAGCGACCACGGAGTGAGCGATGGCGGCGGGAGCGACGGCAATCGGGGCGACGGCACCGTGCAGGAGGGCACCATGGCCTTCCAGGGCCTTAGCCTGCAGGTGGATGGCGCGGGCGTTGATCACATCAGCGGTCTCCAGGGGGCGGCCGTGTGGGTCCAGGACCACGGCAGCGTGGTGCGCAGGTTGCGCCCATGGGATGAGGGAACCACAAGCCACGGAGGCGAGAGCGAAGAACACCACCATCGATTTCATTGTGAACGTGGTCTGTGCTTTTTCTGACGAACTAGATCACTTCAAACCGACTTCGGTCGACTGATAAATTCGACTCGCATACAGTCATATTTATACTGACCGGATATAATTAAAAAGTAAGGCGATTTCAGTAAGCAATGGCTGGTAATGTTAGAACAATGTCAGGTGTCAATAAAGTGTGTGGCCTCGGCGCGTGGCGGTCATAACGAAAGAATTTCGTGGTCGCCGCATGCAGTGCGCAACGCTTGTCTGCTAGCCACATGTGCTGATGTTATCTTGCTGTGATTTTTTACAATAAAGTATTTCGCAAAGAAGTAAGCGTGGTTTGAGTCTAATTGTTCTTTATTTACGAAAGATTACATGCCAAGAATAATTCTGGACTTTTATTTTTAAAATTTAGACTTATTGTATTTGCAGCAAATTATTACAGAGATTGCTAAACCACATTTGAATATAGCTTATCAAGTAGGTTTTGAATTAACAGTGCATAATTTCTGTAAGTTAGGTAAATAGATCTTGAATGTGAACGGAATGGTAGCCTTGCGAAAGGTTTCGACGGCGCGCGAGTCGCACAAAGAAAAGTAATGGGGCGCAGCCGGTCAGCCGGACTGTGGGACTGGGATATTTTATCGGTATCCGCGCCAGTTCCGCCTAACCGACATGCCTACTAGTTTAACGCTAAGCACTAACTTTTGCAACACCTAAACATTAACTGCCTGAGATAAACTATGCAGATAGACAAATTTGAAAATAAAAAAGTAAAATAATATAAATATTAAAAAAAAACATTTGACGTACAACTACCAAAGCCTTATTAGTCTTGTGCACAAAAACGGGAGAGAAAAAGAGTAAAAGGCGCAAAAAGAGGATCACATTAACTACTATTGTTAAAAGAAATCGAACTGCACATATACGAGTAATATACATAATAGCATTATTCATTGAATCTCATAAAATATATTTACTGCGAACTTAAAACGGATACGTTGTTGACATGATAAAGATTAGAGATAAACTACTTGTTTCTTTGAAGCTTAAAGTTCGGACTGAATGTCATTTGTTTCTATTAAGTAGCTTTTGTAAAGTCCAAACATTTTCAATGATTGTCATTGTTTTAAATAAATTCTTTAGTAGGTCCTCGACTCTGTCAACGATGAATTAAAACAAATTAGTAGCCTATGTATTCTTCCAGACTATGTTCTATATTTATTCCAAATTTCAGGGAGATCCATACCGTTGTTCTAGAGATATTTTCCAACAAACATCCATCCATCTATACAACATACATTTATAATAGTAAGATTAAGTAGTCAATACTGCAGAAACTTTTTGATCGCACTTAAAATTTTGAGGTTATTTCGACTTTGGCATTGCAACTTACATCGGGTTCAGTTAGTTGTACATAAAAATATGAATAGGGTCGAAAAATCAATTATTTTTTATTCGCTACCTTATATTATATTACATTACTTTCCGCATTAATTCAATCAAGTTTAAATTGATATACGTCGTGTTATGCTTAAGGTCAGTAGCGGGTAATAAGTTGGCTATGATTCATTCAGTACTGTAGCAACTACCATATTAGTCGGCTGCGTAGATTTGCGTTATTGACATTTGTTAAGAAAAAAATGCGTAACTTGCTTATACTAGATACTAATAATGATAAATTCATTTAATCCATTTAAAATGCAACCATTAAAGAAATATTTCCATAGTTGAGAAGAAAGAAAAAAAAAACAAAATTACCAAGTAAACAAATTGCATGAACATTTTAAGAAATATAACAAAGCTAATAAATAACGGGTAATTTAAATCTCGCATTTTCTTAATACAGAGTAATATTTGAATGACGTTATACAAAAATATAGTTGTATATTCAGCTTCAATTGATCAACATATTTTTTTATGGTATTATATATAAAAATAATTTTTACCTCAGTTTTATAAAACAAATATTGTATTATATTATAATAGAGATTAGATTATTACCTATGTGGAACATTTTATTACTTTTAATAATATCTTGACAGTGTTTTAATATGTTTTATACTTCGTATACATATGTCACACTTTTTTTATTTATTTTTTAAGATACACTTCCGTGCGTTTACAACGGAAATTGATTATTTATTACAAGGATATAAATCTACACAAGCTATGTACAGTAATGGAATGTTTAATTCTAGTTTTAACTTCCATGTTTTAGATTCTTATTAAAAACTATATAACTAGAACGCTGTACTGGATGATTATTTAAATTATGAAACAAATTAAGAAATGTTTCAAGTAAGCTAGAAATCTAACAAGAGAATGTATATATGAATACGAGCAAAATGTAAATCTGTTGCTATGTCTAATCTAAAATATTGAAGTTTATTATTCAAACTAGCTATCGCCCGCGACTCCGTCCGCGCGGATTTTTTTAAATAACTTAATTTGTAGCATATGTGTTCTTTAAGACTATGGGCGAGATACCATCAAACAGACATCTATCCATCCATCAGAACATTCGCATTTTTAATATTAATACGATTATGTTATGTTGAGGCCAGGAAAATGTAGTCCTAATGGTACTTACGAGTAGAAATATCAATATAACAGTCTGATTCAATCCCTTGCCTAATTTCAACATATCTTATAAAGGGCTTAAATAAGATACGATATGTATATGCATATAATAGTCAAATGCAGCAATACTAAGGACATTAAATCTTTAAAAAATTCTATTACTGTAATACATTTGTAAATCAATGGATATGGTAAAGGATAATACTATTTGTGTCGGCGCCGTGTCCGAGCTCACGCCCGCACATTTCGAAACATTACCCGGCTGCCAGGATATTGTACCACGACTTGCATTTCCACCGTCAAAACACAAATGTCGCCTGTTTGCAAATCACTCGGACAATTCATATAAAGACAGGAAATATATCGAATGAATTGATTTACAACTCGACGTGTTACATTACGACAGATGACATATAATCAGCGATTTTTAATTCGCTGCATAAAAATGTTACCTTTACAAAGTGTTCAAAACATAAAAGCAATATAGTTTGTTAATTTTTGTAACTGAATTTGTTCGATAAGCAATTTGCTGAGTTTACGAATTGCGGGACAAATTAATAACGGGCGGCGTATACGATTTGCCGGTGACATATCGCTACAATTCTGTTAATTGCTTTGTATATATTTAATGCAATTTGTTTATTTACGACTTTACTTTGGTCACTATTTAAGGTTAATTTATATCATTTTCGAGTAGTTAATATGATATTTATTTCATAAACGCTATTAAACAATAATTAGGGGATTAAAATGAAACTTTTGGTAGTTAATGGACAATTAAACTTATTTAATTTAAGAAATTGTCCATTTGTTAATATTTTAATTTGCTTTTGTTTTGTAATGTTGCATGTTATTGCTAAATAAGAAATACCAATAAAGTGCTGGTAACAATTCACATTTCTCAGAAACTTTGAACAAAATTTATGTTTTACTTCTTAATACAAAGTGTTCGACCTACATATTAATTCCAGGAATTTCTGGGAGACCTTACAAATACATACGATCCATGTTAATTACCATGTGCTATACGTTGGTTCTGCATTATGAACGTAGATTTTAAAAAAATAGTATTTTTATACTTGTGAGAATAAACTAAAAAATAATTCATCCAAAAATCCATATCCACACTAACAATCTAATTTTTTTTTTGTTTTTTAAAAGACTTAATTTAAATAGTAATTATTATATTAAATCTGTTACGAGTACGTTTCTTTGTTTTAAAAACATTAATTAGTGTCAAATTTTTTTTTCGTCATAAAATAATAACACAATAGCGAGGTTGGTAAATGTTATAAATATGTGTGTAGAAGGTTTTGAATAATTATTTCTAGACCAAGGCTTGAGAAAACCCGCATACCGGTACAAATAATTCAATAGGTATATATGTAATTGCTTTGTGCCTTTGTCCTTGTTTGTCAGTGAAGGCCGTTTTACATGTGAATTTAAAACTCGTTTTTTAATACTTACAAAAATAATGTTTTGTAAATAATGTTAAGATAATTACATCAGTGTAGTTAAATTGTTACTCAAGCTGTCGTTTAGTGTAGATTTTTAACATTAAATATTTTTAAAGAACTAGCGGTTGCCCGCGACTTCGTTAGCGCAGAATTAAATAGCCTAAGATACTGGCGTACATATCAGCTGCCTTCTAGTAAAAGTTCCGTCAAACTTGGGGGCTGTCCAGGAACAAAGGCAGACTTGCAGACAGACAAAAAAAAAGCTTTTCGATACAAGTATCGAAAATTTCATGTATTTTAATGAAACATGTTTCTTTTTTGATATTACATATGTACACTCCAATTGTATTAATTGCGCTTCAAGCGCTTCATCACAATCCCGCCTGATGTTAAGTTGATTTAAACTAAGGGTCGCTTTTAATAGATATTTGAAGACTCTGAATATTACAAGTAATTTTACAAACGTTAGTAGTATTAAAATGCCATCCATCGTTATAATTTTTCTTTACCAAACATAAATGATTTCACACAAGAACTTGCCCCTTATATGCATTAACGGACATAATGGTTTAAGTCTAAAGGAATATTATCAGTGAATTGCCTTATTAAAGGTTCCGTTTTGTTGTTTTTATTCAGTAGCTGATGTCTAGAATGTGCGTTAAACCTTGAAGTTAATGTTTGTTCTATATTTGATTATGTATATTATGAATAGCACTAGCCTTGTGTCGCAGGTTTTCGTCTCTTTTTTTATTCTTTATTGCACATCTCCTAAGAATCACAGCGTAATATAGATTAAATGTTTTGAAGTTTACAATAATAAGTGGCACTTTGAAAAAAAAACAAATTCTTCAATTAATTCAATTTTATTTAACATGATTTATTTAAGGATTTTTAAACGTATTCTATATTGTTAAGGATATTAAAAGGATGAAGCCTTTATTTGGACTCTAAAAATATTCTAAAACGCTACCATGAAACCTTAATTTTGCTTAATTTTGATGTCGTTGGATACATGTAAGAAAATGTAAATATTTAGTGGTTAACGGTCTTTAAAAAGAT